AAAAAAAAAAAAAAAGTCATTGTTTTTCAAGGCACGCGGAACTAAGTGGAAGGCATCGATAAGGGAATCGTTAAACATAAGGGCAAATGATGTGGATGGATCAAACCCGTTGGAACCGGTTCTCAACTGGAACTGGTCCTCGATTCCCATCCCTCACCGTGGCTCTCATTCTGAATCCCTTGACATGCTTGTATGACATAATCACACAGATGTAGGCCTAAACGCAGATGCAGATGTTGCATACCTTTGACCTCCTTTTCATTCCTGAACCAGCGCAGGTCAGCGGCGGGCTTGCTGCCCTGAGTGATGCAGGTCAGAGTGATCTGGTCGCCCTCCAAGGCAGGCTTCGTCAAGCCATCGATCTCTGGCTTCTCTGGCACGCCTATAGGATGGAGTGAAAATCACAGAGATGGAACTAATTGACACACAGCGGTTTGTCATTATGCAGCAATAATATTATCATGCCGTACTGGAAATTTCCCCTCCAGCTCGGCCTCCTGCAGAGAGATTAGAGAGCAGACTGCAGAGCGGCATCAACGAGCGGTGTCCTGCTCGAGAACACATCAGGGAGGTTTCTCGTTTTTGGATGGTCTCTCACACCACTGGGCCGTCCCCTTCGTTAAGGGTCGGTCCACATGAATTACAAAGAACCACGTTTTCTCACATAGCGCATGGTGGTATTTATCCATGCAGGCTGTGAGACGGACAGTATGTCTGTGACTACTACTCAAACACAAGAGGGTGAGTCGAGTTGCATTTGTGGTGGTTTCTCTGGGTAGTGCTCCTAAAGAAATAGTCCCTATGTCAAAAGAAAAGGTGTGCGTTTTTTCTTGTGTGCATGTGTGTGTACATGTGGATAAAGGGGTTATGACACAGAGAGGGCCACATGGTTGTAAAGAAAAATATGACAGGCCACTGTTTTAAGTGTGTAGTGTGTGCCTTTCTAATGTCACTGAGCAGTAAGTCGGCCTCAGGCTGAGTGAATGAAAGGTCTGTCAGTCAATGCCATTGACTGACTCTGGCCTTGTCGGTCTCACCACCTCCTGAAAGGTTTATTACCAGAGTTAAAGGTCCTCCTGTTTTCCGTTTTCCGTCCTTTTCGTGAGAAACAAACTGCATACACCACCATGACAATAGCTGCTGCTCGGTACATACAGCAGCAGTGTGCAGTGCAGATCTATTCCTCCTCATCTAACTAAAAGCTGTACGTGTCATTTTCAGTTTTCAATCCATCGTTTTCCAGTGTGTAAATTGCAAGTGTCGCAATATCTAACTAAGTATTGTGGTGCGCGTGTAAGAATGTGAATGAGTGAATGTGGCTTGACTCGGAAAAGTGTATGAGGCTTTTTTCTCCCAGACTGAAAGAGAGCAGATCAAATACAATGTTCATCTTATACAGTTAAGTTCCTCTTGGGTGGCTAGAGGCTGCAAAGCTTTAATCCGTCTCTCTGTTTGTGTGCGACTGAGTGTGTATGTGTGTGTGAGTGTAGAGTATTGTGTATGTGTGCGTGCGTGCGTGCGTGTGTGTGTGTGTGTGTGTGTTTCTCTTCTAAGATGTGCAACATGGATTTCTGTGTGCTGTGGTGTGTTTGTGTGTGCTTGACTGTTTAAGCATGACCAAAAGCGCTTTCAAGACATGAAAAAGAAATGAGAGCTAGATTTCTGATGCTTGGTGATGAAAAAAAAAAAAAAAAGAAGAAAACTAGATCTCAGGATTGATAATTCCTGTAGTCATTGTGAGAATTTATTCAGAGTTTATATCAAAGTCAGTTACTAATAACTGAACTTTTGTGCGGTTCATTCTTAGCCGAGCTTGCGGCTAAGGGATGGCAATGTCGGTCTGTCGGTCGATCCACCACTTTGCTCTCGACAACTAACGGATGAATTGCCCGTGAAATTTGTTACACACATGCATGTTCCCCTCAGGATGAACTGTATTCATTTTTGTGACCGAGGAACTTTTAAATCGGGTCAAAATTTTTATTTCTCCAAAAATTTGTTTAATGACCAAATACCTACCTAACATGCCGAAAGGCTCTTTTTCTTGTTGATGTTTATAATGCGGTGATGATTCTGATTTTATAAACATCATAAATATATGTAGGATTCATATTTGAATAATGTTTTACTTTATAATGCTTTACTTATTAGTGGATTTATTATGTTTTAAAAATTCTATTTGTGGTAATAGACAAGCAGATGTTTATATTCATTCACCAAGAATATTTTTGAGAGAATTTGATTGTGAAGCTCGTTTATTTGCACGTTCATTTGGTTGGAGTTTGGTATTTTGTCCACATGATTTTCAATATTTTCACTCCCAGCACTCAGTGTCCTAAAACAGGCCATTCCCCGGCTATTTTGTGTGTTTATTAAATCTCCCTCCGTTTCCTGGCTTGCACCATTAACTATTGTTCAGTATTGCAAAAATAATTTTCTCCATATCCTTATTGAGCAGTAGCCTTTAATGTCTCTAATTCTCAGAATGCTTGTTAACACAGAGAGCCAGCTAATGGTTCTGGAGTGCACGAGCACATCTATTAACATTAGCAAAAACTAATTGGCAAGATAATAAGGCCTGTGGCAGGAAATGAGACAATGTTTTCTGTGGGGCTATGATCACAACACAAACATTACTAGGAAGAGAGGGAGAAAGGGCCTAACTGGTTTTTATTTGTCTGCAGATGTAGACACGCGCAACGGGCTTTTTCTAACTACAACTAAATGTGTTTGTCTTCAAGGCAAAAAAAAAGCAAAAAAAAAACACAACAAAACCATACCATTCAGAAAAGCACGAATGCATGGAGTTCTTATTATGATAATAATATTTTGAAATTGACCCATGTGAAAAATACTACAAACTTTTCCCTTGACCAATGACCTCCAGCCATCGCTAATGTTCTCCATTTATTTTTGGGCTCTTCTGTCCATAATGATAATGGTGATGTATTATTGTTTTAAAATCTAAAACTTCCACATGGAATATATTTTAACATTGGTCATATCCTAAGACACAGAGAAGAAGAGCTTCTCCTTGGAGCGTTCACTAGTCAGTCCGAGGAGTACAGCGCTTCCTCGACCACCCTCTGCTAGCTCCACAAAAACGTTTTTTTGTCCGGACGCTGTTCAAAGTAACGATGGTCGAGCAGACAGACCGACGTCATGTAACTGTGTATCCGCTGCACTTACCTAGAACAGTCAGGTAGGCTTTGGCCGTTCTCACAGGCATGGTGAAGAGAGAACAGGTGTACATGCCTTCATCAGACAGCGAGACATCACTGATGCTGATGGTCAGCTCCGACCACGACGCGCGCACCAGCTCGATCCTGTTGTCCCTTAAAGCTGAACAGAGACAGACAGAGGGTTAGTAAACAGATCGTTAAAATATCAGCAAACCAAAGTGACGGGGGCCTCTTCAGCAGTGTTGCTGGGAGACACACTTCAGCTCCTGCCACACGATCATATTTTCATACACAGTTTTAACATGGTGAACTCTTCCTCCTGTGCTTGATAAAACTAGTTCATATAATATTTCTGTATTGTATTAATAGTTCATCCTCTGTATTTTACATAATGGTAAAGCAGAAAACTGTGTCGAGCTTGGAGTCCATTCTGTTATGTCTATTGGAGACACACACACACACACACACACACACACACACACACACACACACACACACACATACACAAACAGACAGTCAAGTAAACAGAGAGAAAGAAAGAGCGACAGAGTAGCAGAGGCATGCTGAGAGAGTTTTACAAATGCGAGATCACAGCGGCATAAAAAACGGCAAAGTAAAAGAGAGATCAGCCCCCCCCCCCCATTATATGATGTTAAACATGTGCATATTGTTAACAAAACCGCAGCAGAGTGGCCACCTTAACCACACACATATTCTTATCCAACAGTATCAGTACAAGCATGCCAGGAAAAAAAAAACAAAACAGAAATCTTGCCTCCAAAAATAGCCAATTCAGCTTTTGGCATTATTTACAAATGTGCTAATTTAACTGCTATAACCACACCTACTGGTACACAAGGATATGCAACATTCCTAATTAAGTTTGAAACGCTAAAGCTGGTGGTAAATGTGTCAGTGTTATTGTTGTTTTCTGTACTGTCAAATAAAAACAGTACTGCCCTGTGCTCTGCAAACCAAGCTGTGTAGTGTAAATAATGTACGTACGGACAGATTTAAATGCAATCAAAAAATCACATGAAAAAGTGACCTCAAAACTGAACTTTCAGCTGAATCTGAAAATGCATTCAACAGTGCACCTCTACAGTTTACCATATACAGCCTCCTCAGCTGGAAGCCCTCGCAGACACTTTACTTATATGAAAATGTAATCTTCCAAAAGACATAACAGGAATGGAAATCAATAATGCAATAACAGGCTGAGAAAGAGGCCTAATGAGAGTTTGGCAAGATGCGAGACTTGAAATGGATTTGCTGAAATTGGACAGCCAGTCGAAAGACACTACACAGTCTTCAAACTACACTTCGTACTTAATATCTATGATACAGTGGGAGCAGGCACTGAGGTTTCAGACTGCGGTGACACCTTTAAAAATGACATGATTCATGCCTGTTTTGTCCAAGGTGTGCATGACGCTATACAAAACAGCACAAAAGGCTGGTTGGTAACAGAACATGTGGATTGTTGAGTGTGCAAAAAAAAAAAAAAAAAGAAAGAAAGAAAAAATTGAATTCTTTCTGTTTCTGTGGCCTTGGCTGCTCAACAGATTTATTCAATCCTTCTTTTCGCAAGTACAACACCTTTCTACAAACCTTATTTAATATGAGCAGCCAAAGCTACTTTGCTTTCACTCTCCATCAAAGTGACTTGGAGCAAACCTCGCTTGAGTACAGTGTGTGTATGTGTGTGCGTGTGTGTGTGCGTGTGTGTGTAAATGTGACTGTGCATGATGGGATTCAGCAGAGAAGAGGCACGATTGTTTGTGTACAGGTATTCATATTTTTTCTTTCATGTGCCCGCACATGAAAGAAAAATTCTTGTCTTATGGTAATTGTGACAAATCATACAAAAAGTAGAGCACCCTGCTTTTGTAACCTCTTCACAAATTTGAAGAGTAAAGGCCATTAGACAGTCTGTTTGTAGAGTACTTTAAAGAGTGGCTGGCTGGTGAGAAATGATACCCAAGGTATCTAAAGTACTGAAACTGTGTTTCAACAGCCTAAAGCTTTAAGCCGTCATTAAAAAAGAAAAGAAAAAAGAGAGTCATGTTTTCTTTCCCAAATACCTCAACCTTCCCTGACAGAGTGCGACAAAAAAATATAAAATGTGTTATTTACCGAGGACGTAATACACAGCAACAGTCAATTAACTTTGGAAAGAGCTTTTCAGAGGATGGCACAGACATTATCACCTTTTAAAATGTAACTTGTTTTGCCAGATTCTGAGTCTTTTGACTGATGAAATCAATACCAACTGCTACATTATTAGCTGTGTTTTTACTCACTTATGGCTGTAATTTGTCAGTCACTGGTAAACGTCAATAGTTCTGGAGGGGACTCTGAAAGGAGGCGCATGGGCTGCGTTCTCTTTACAGCTTCTGTATATGCTGCGATGATCACAGAGCTGACAAATGTAGAGAAGAATGTCAGTGAGCACACTATCTCATGTCATTTGGTTTGCCAAAGGGATGGGTCGCTTTGCTTTGCTGGTTTCGGGCTAAACACCTACAGTAACTGGCGGTTGAGGTGTAATCAGTTTGGCTAAACGACAGCTGCTCTCTCTCATTTATTATTGCATTTGTTCTGTCCCTTCCTGTCCTTCACAACACCGGTTATCCCTTCATGCTGTGTACTGAGCCTGAGCGGGCGTGACATGTTGATATGAGCACATGACATATCTTTAAGCTTGGCACCAGTGACAGAACATTCCTGTTTCTACGTGTGCGTGTGCGCGTATGAGTACACATGGCCATCAATGCAAGACCACCAAATTAGTTTTAGTCTAACGCACTGCCAGTTCAGCTAATGGTGAGACCTGTCCTGAAAAGATAGTTGTTATGTCTCATGCAGAATGTATAAACGCAAACGTCTCACCAAAGAATAAAATACAAAGAGGAGACTATTTGGAATGATTCGAGACAAAGAAAAGATTATTTTTTTGCCTCTGTATATTGTTCTGTTTTTTTTTCTTTCTTTCTCTCTGTCAGTCTCTCAGTTTCTCTCCTTCCTCCCACCTAGACCTCATTCTGTCGACTCAGGCAGCTCCACACTAACCTGTGAAAGTGTACAAGTCAAACAATGCTTCAATTTCAGCTGTTGTCTTATTTGCTTTGGGCAAGGAAGTATGAGGAGGCAAATGTTGGAAAATACATTTAATGTTGCTGGCTCACGAGCTGTGGTGATGCGACTCTGCTTTCTTCTTCCCCTCTTGTCAATAGCCCATTGAGGGACTTTGAGGGAGAGATTGAAGTATATGGAACAATCTGACTTGTTGCTCTTACGTAAGCAAGTTAACTGAACTCGGGATGACATTGTATTCACTTTTATAACGAGCTCTGCCTGACTGGGAGCGCGCTGATTAGAATCTACTGCAGGTAATGTACCGACTATATGTGACTACCTCACACAAGCCCACGTCAAAAAACCTGAACTATCCCTTTGACATCCATCCATCCAGTAGCTATACTGCTTATCCTTATAGGGTCTGGGGGGGAAGGGGGGGGGGTTGCCAACTGACCTAAACCTGTGTGTCTTTGGACCCGGAGAGAACCCACGCAGACACGGGGAGAACATGCAAACTCCACACAGAAAGGTCTGAACCCAGAACCTTCTCGCTGTGAGGTGACAGTGCTCACCACTGTACCACCGTGCCGTCCATCCCTTTAACAACATATGCCATTTTAACGTTAAACATTAAAGTCGTGTTGTTGTATTTTTGCTCAAAGATTTTAAGATAAACAAAGAAATACTATCAAACATACAGAACATGTATTGTTAATTGGTCTTGAACTAATTAGGCTATATTAACTGCACATAAAACAATCGAGTCGAGCTGATGGGGGATGAGTTTGTGTGTTATATTAACATTTGTGTGGACTTTACAGTAAAATTTAGTGTCATGGATGGACTGGGCTTTATTGTGCAGTTTTAATGGATCTGAAGCTCGTGTTCATTCCGATTAGAATCTGGATTCAGTACACAGTCGTGCTCCAAGTAGTGTTTCTGCATTTTTTCAGTGCTCACAGGCGGATATCAGGATAGTTTAGGTGCCAAAAAGCAGGATCATCCTGATCCCCCTGGAAGGGTGGATTCAGACTGGATTTAGAAACATGAAAGGTGTTATATATAAGCATGAAATCAGAATATAACTGGTAAGGATCCTATAATACAGTCAAGGATCCTGAACAAAAATTCGTCTTTAAATGAACAAAAGTCCCACATCAATGGTTAGACCAACTGGACGGGGAGGTGACAAATGACTGTTGCCAGGATCGTTTCGTCTTTGATTATTTTCTCCATTCAGACTCTGACTTTTGCCTTAAAGTTCTTCGAGTTATGATAGTTTAATACCTTATTAGTGTAATTTTACTTTGCAATTTGTGCACAATTTGTGCAATTTGTGGACACTACACAATACAACACAACAATACACTAAGAAACGGAACGGAACGCACGCACACACACAGTGCACGTGACACATCTTTTTTTTTTTTTTTTTTAAAGATTTTTCTGTTAAATGTACAACAAAGTACAGTCCACCTCCAATTTTCCCCCATCTTTATTTCTCCCCGGCACTGCAACCTATATTCTCTCACTCCGTGCCCAGTGAAAGGCTGGATATCGACAGAGAGGAGAGAGGAGGAATGTATCCTTCACTATTTGTCTGCAAAGGTGCTGCAGCTGCCCGACATCCATTAGGGAGCATTAGTGCAGACAGTCCTGGATGTGTTCATAGAGGATGGCGTTGTTGTCGACATCAAAGGGTGGTAGCGATTTTGTATTCCACAGTAACTACTACTACTTACTGATTGTGCAACCATTTTTTTTTTTTTTTTGCTCATTTAGCCTTAGCCCGCATCTCTCTGTGAATATGGAAACAGAGACGGAAAGCGAGACTGCACTTGTCAGTATCAAAGTTTGATTTGTTTTCGCAACAAATGGGCAATACACCTCTGTCTGTTTTGCTTCTTGTTTGTTTACCGTTTGTGTGAGACAGAGAGAGAGAGAGAGAGAGAGAGACAGAGAGAGAGAGAGAGAGAGAGAGAGCCAGGGCGATAGATGTCTTTTATACATCTGATTGCCTTAATCTCAGCAGAACGCACACGGAGTACCTTGAGACATGACTATTTTATTATTTCGCAC